GGCAGTCTAGAGCTCTAGTCAGATTTGACTGGTAAATATAACCAAATCAACAATCTAGAGCTCTTGCCAGATGTGACTGGTAAATAAAACCAAATCAACAATCTAGAACACTAGTCATATATAACTGGTAAATACAGCCAAATTTACAGTCTAGAACTCTAGTCAGACATAACTGGTTAATACAGCCAAATCAACAGTAGAGCTTCAGTTGAAACATGACTGGTTAATGCAGCCAAATTTACAGTCAATCATTAATGAAGCTTTCATCTCCAAAATTAAAACACGATTTTTTATCACAGAGCAGAATATCAAAGCTAAAAGCATGAGGTCATGTTAGTACACAAATGGTTTTAATAAATTTAGGCCTTATTAGATTAAAACAAAAACTTACAAATTCAATGAATATGGCTTGAAAAATTTACATAGAATCGGCCTTGATTAGTTTTCATAAATTCGTGTAAAAAACTTCTGATATTTGAGCGTGATTTACAAGTAAGAAATTGAGTATTTGATTATTTGTAAAAGATTAATGTCTATCTAACAGACTTGTAGTTTATTTAACTTAATACAGTGCAGTGTTTATAAAGTTGTTATTTCTGACTCTCTTATTCAAAGTCAGCATTCTATGATTTTGTTTAGATTTAGTTTGATAAAACGCACTGTCTATTTGTATCGTCATGGCACATACTGTCTTCGTTTTCCATCTTATTCGTAGTGATGTTAGCAGCCATTGGGCGTGGTATTTCTCTTTCCCTTCAAGCATGATTGCAATTAAGTGACTTAAGTGTTAGTTAGGAATTTTTGGTTTTAACATTGCAGTTTAAATAATGTTACGATAGCACAGGCACAGGCATAGGGTTAACCTCTAGTGAGAGAGTATAGTTTGCGCAGTTAGTTTATATAATATCAATAAATTAAATGAAAGTCCAAATAAACATTTTCACTGGTGAAACTGAGGAAGGTTAGGCAGGGATGGTCATATTGTTTAATGCTTCATACTCGTATCTTTATGATGCCTTTTTGAAAGGATAAGAAAATAAATAATAGACTTTTAAAAGTATCTAAATATTATCAGAGTCAGAATGACAAAGATTTCTCTATTTCAACTATTTTTACCTTTAACAAGTTTATTCCGTTCATGGAGATTAATACCACATGGAGTTATCTGCCTTGTTTATTGGTTGTTAACGTAAAACGGCTGGTAACTAATCATCTCAAATTTCACATCTGCTTCTACTTTCCCTGCGGCTGCTTCTTTTATACAAGGGAAATAACTTCTTCAGTAATAAACCTCAATGATGCTAGTATAAAGAATGATTTTTCAATCTAATTAAAATTCAAATCTGGCAGTGTCTCAACTACCACTGGTTGAACCAAGTCCAAATATCCCCACCCCGAAGGGCCCTCCCCTCTGAAGAAAAAAAAAATACAGACTTGAAAAACAAATGTACTGGTACTGTATTATAAGTTTGTAACAGACAATAACAAATGGTTAACAACTGCTTGAACCCTATCTAGAGGATTAATTTGACTTTCAAAGGGGTCTCAGAATGCAGGAGAGCAAAAATTCCTAGTGAACAGACCCCAACCCAACTAGGTCCACAAGGTCCAACTCATCTGGTTCAGCCACTGAAATCTAGATTTTTCTTTGATGCCTTTTCTGTGAATGACTCGTTTTGCCATCCACAATGATTTTTTAACAGATGTGAAAAACATTTTTGTTGCTGATATCAACGTTTCATTTGGTACTTTTTCTGTGGGTTATTCATCTCACTATCTATGATCTGACAAACTTCCCGTTTTAAATTGTGTTCAAGTGAATCTTGTTTTATTGGCATAGATAGTTAGCACTGTTTGAAACTCATTGAAACCACTTTCATTGTTCACAACCGTATGCTACTGGTAATTGGTATAGTGTAAGGGCACCTGCAATGATTTTGTAATAAGTAAACTAAACAAAGTAATATTGTATAGAATTATCATTTGTATTTTCAGCATGTCAAATACTTCCCACTATCACTCAGCCAATGACCAATAAAACAGCTCGATCTGGTGACAGCGTCAAGTTGCGATGTGGAGTCACGGGAACACCACGTCCCACAGTATCTTGGAGAAAGAATGGAATGGTGATTGGTCAGACTAAAGACTTTGTCCAGACATATGGCAACAATAACATCGCTACCCTGGAGATCAATGACGTCTGCCAACAGGATTCTGGGAGTTATGAAATGATCGCAAAGAATTCCGGTGGAGAAATTTCTTGCACTTGTCAACTCATTGTTGAAGGTGAGTTGTCTGCCATTTTGAATCTTCTAGACCCAGGAAGTCCACATGGAACCCTATCACTGTTACCTAAAGGTTAAAGTTATTAATATAGGCAGTGTTTCTATGGTATAAAAATTGTTGTCATAGAGATTGATGATGTAAAAATTTCTTTTTCAGCCTCATCCAATCAAAATAAACCACATTTTAACCAATCACAATCACCGTTTAGTCAAACAGTAACTCAGAAACCTCAATCTATGATTAGCCATAAACCACTGCAGTCAAACAACCTCCCTCCTGATCCCGAGAAGCCACCCTCTGTCAGTCAGCTACGCATGCAGTTTCAAGTTGGCGGCAACCAATCAAATGCTCCCAAATCATCTTCTATTAGGCGATGGCATTCCCTGCCTCCGCAAGAAAACAAATTCAGTGTTTATAAGGTAAGTTGATATTTTTTTGAAAATCAAACTAAAAAAATTCACCCCATTGCACAATTCATTACATTGCTTACCTGACAACACAGTACAGCTTTCATTGTGATAAAATATGTTACATGCAAGACAATTCCCTCGATTAAAAATCCCGTCCAAAGTATGACAAATCGGGAGTTAAATTGTATAGTACACCTTCAAAGAAAAGTACCATCAGGTGTTCCAAAAAGAATAAGGATAGCATCACTACTGCAAATGGTCTGAATCATAAGATATAAGCAGATTAATTCATGCCAAATAAGGTACAGAACAATAAGACTTAAAGTTCTTCTCTCATTAAGGTATATTACAAAGAAATGTAAAACTCTATATGACTCTTGGAAAGATGATAGATTCCAATAAGATACATAATAGTAGGACTATTATCATTTCTGACAGCTTCTGGTTGGTGTATGATATCTTGTCTGGCAAGCTATATTGAAACCAATCATTCTGAGGTCTATAACCTAGTTTACAGTAATATAATGTAACCAATAGAATGATATTATAAAAGAGAACCACCTGTGAAAAACCAACTATCCCAGATGAAAGTTTGTAGGTTGGTTTCAATATATGATGATAGATACGAAACTGGTTCTAGGTCAATCATATTTTACTTTGGTAGAATTCTTTTGGTCATTAATATCTTCTTAACCCAGATCCCAAGAAGTCTTGCATCTAGATGATGATGGATTTTATATATCCAAAACACCTGTATCATGTATATAAATGGAGATGAAAGTTGGGAGGGGGGGTGTGGGGGTGGAGCTCAGTTATCAAGCTATTCCCATCTCTACCCAATATTGTGCATAATGTTGCTTTTTTGTATCTTAAAGATTAAATATAGGCAACGATACACTACACCAACAATAAAATGCAGCGTAAACTAGCAAAAAACAAATTTTCATCAAGGTCTGAAATATCTGGTAATTTTCTAAAATAAGAAAACTCAGATTATAAATAGTCATGGCAACAAAATAACAACATTCTCTTTAACAGACTCATTATTTTCCCACGATTCACCATTCCACGCAATTTAATATATTACTATAATATAGTCATTGCACAAGCTTTTATGAGATCTTGTGCCAGGAATCCTACTAGATTGTAAGAATCTTAGAACTTTGACATACGCCTACAAAAACCATGAACCGGGTGTGGTGCCAAACAGAGTCTGCTTACTTTTCCAGACACCTGATATCACTTTTCATAATGAAATTCTTCATTAGATCATATATTAAGCAGAAATTACAGGTGTGGCTTCAAGCAGAGTATGATTACTATTCCAGACACCTGATATCACTTTTCCTTATGAAATACTTCATTAGATCATATATTAAGCAGAAATTACAGGTCTGGCTTCAAGCAGGGTATGATTACTCTTCCAGACACCTGATATCACTTTTCCTTATGAAATACTTCATTAGATCATATATTAAGCAGAAATTACAGGTCTGGCTTCAAGCAGGGTATGATTACTCTTCCAGACACCTGATATCACTTTTCCTTATGAAATACTTCATTAGATCATATATTAAGCAGAAATTACAGGTCTGGCTTCAAGCAGGGTATGATTACTCTTCTAGACACCTGATACTTTTTTTCATAATGAAATACTTCATTAGATCATAGAGTATGCACCAATTACAGGTGTGGCTTCAGGCAAAGTATGATTACTTTTCCAGACACCTGAAAGAACTTTTCAATATGAAATACTTCATCAAATCATTCACTGATAACCATATACTCTATAAAATTGACTTGTCGTCTGCTATGAAATATGGTGCACTATATGAAGTAAAGTACATTTTATGTATAGGCAATTGCTATGCTATTCAGTATTGTTGAGACAGTGAATTAACTTAGCCAGTAGCTAGTCTGCTTGGAATTTAGATACTTAATATGTATTTCTTAAGGCAATGACAAATCTAAGTTCCTTGACCAGTGCTTTAGGGTAATTGCTCACAAAAGAGACTCTTCAAAGTTTCCTAATGGGGAATGCAAAGAAAAATAAATAACCTTTTGTTATTTTTTTGCAAGGAAATTATTGCAATAAAATATAATCATTTTTAAAGTGGTGCTGATTTAATTAGGCTTAAAATGAAAATAATCTAATCTCCAGATCAAATTAAATAAATTTATCTGTTGATGTATTTTGAGTGTTGGTATGATTTCTGTTTATAAACACACCTCTTCTTCATACCTGCTGTACACAGAGAAAGTTTCTACCTGAGTCGTTGCCATGGTAACACCTAATGCTAGCTGGACCAGATTGTTTTGGTACTCTCCAAACAAGGAGGTATGATATCTGATATGGTTACTAGGCAACTGTTGTCTGTTTATATTCCATTTTTGCAGACTAGTAATCTCTCAAAACTGGCAGAAATGTAAATCTTGTCATTTAAAAATTTTGAAATTTAGGAATGCTTATGATAGCTGACAATTGACTCAATCTTGAAAGTTCTGGTATAAAATTTCTTTTTTAAATTGATACAGACTCCAATCTCTTAATAGAAAATTCTATGCACTTATAGAAATATAACTAATCTAAAAAAAAGTCAAGATAATTTAAGATTTTCATTTTATTGAATTATAGTTTAAATTTAAATTTGAAAAAAGAAAATTCTCACTAAAAATTAAAAAAATAAGTAAATCCCTGAAGAATTCTGTTATTCATAAAGAATTGAATAGAATGGAAAAAACAACACCTGCAAATAAAAAAAAAACAACACCCGCAAATAAAAAAAAACAACAACACCCGCAAATTAAAAAAAACAACACCCGCAAATTAAAAAAAACAACAACACCCACAAATAAAAAAAAACAACAACACCTGCAAATAAAAAAAAAACAACACCCACAAATAAAAAAAACAACACCCGCAAATAAAAAAAAAAACACCCACAAATAAAAAAAAAAACAACACCTGCAAATAAAAAAAAAACAACACCCACAAATAAAAAAAACAACACCCGCAAATTAAAAAAAACAACACCCGCAAATAAAAAAAATAACACCCGCAAATCAGAAAATGATTATCATATATATATAACAGCAGTTAAAAGAGAGGTTAAATTTACCAGCTTCCTAGTTTACTGTAGTGCTACAGGCTGTGCTTGTTAAAGATCCCTCGACAGTTAGAAAGAAAACAGTAGGCTAATGCTGCTGTCCTGGCAAAATTTCTCTCATTACCCACTGCATGGTGTTTGTCTGTGCTCATTGGATGCTGAAGTAAAACTCCATTCATTTCATTTTCTTCTAGTTTATTGCATTTCTTCCGTCTTGATTAGCTCAAATAGGTGCAAAAAATTCATTTTTTTTTTAGTTTTTTGCAACATTTTCTTAAGATTACGACTGACCTTTATGGAAGGTCTAACAATTTATACTCAGTGACCCACGTATACAGTGTGAAAGTTATCTCCCTTTAAAACCTATGGTATGTTGGTTCCCGTGGTGCTAAATAAACTCTGGTACTGTAATAATAATTTCTGTTAGTCAGAAATATATCAAATAAACATTAGTTATGTCATAGATGTAGGTGTTGAGTGTTGTATACAAACTTATAAAAAATCAGTATGATTCTTTGCAAGCTCCTCAAATGAAATGATAGAAAATCAAATTATTTTTTTTTTTATTTTGTAAATACTTTCAAAAGGACTGGCAGAGCTTTAGAAATTTTATTGACAAAAATATTTCTGGGAAAAAATAATTAGAGAAACTGTTATATATTTAAATTTCACCAGACAATTTGATCATTCCTTTCAAAAGGACTGGCAGAGGTTTGATATATTTCACCAAAAGAACTCTTAATTTGTTGAAGCAACTTGGAATTTGAAAAAAATACTTCAAACAGAACTGGCAGGGGATTAAGAAATTCTGAAGCTACATTTAAGATTTTCTAAATCTAACCATTAGACAGACATTTATTGACAAAAAATTTTTTCCGAATTGACTGGCACAGGATTTCAACCTCAATTCCTTGATTTTGAGAAACCATTAAATTAATAAATTTCATCATAAGACGTTTTCCATCATGGAAACAGCAGGGAATATGAAAATAATTCAAAAAGGACTGGCCTTGGATTGAGAAATTCTGAAACTAAATTTCACTGAAAGACATTCTTCAATCCTGAAAACAACAGTGGACCTTGCAATATTGATGTCGTCCAAAAAAACTGGGAAAAACTTGTCATCAATTCCATCTTAAGCTTCTCACCGAAGGAACAGGTTGGAGCTATTATCATCTTGGCAATGATTGGATGAAATTCACGTCATACTCTAATGTAAAGTCATTGGTGTTCTAAGTTGTCAACGCTAATAGACTACTCATCAAATCCTACAAGTCTTATTTTTGACAGTGAGATTTATGCCGTTATTTTGTTAGTGTAGCGAGAAGCGAACACTACAGGGGTTCAATTTAGGCTGATGATTACAGCTTCCATTTAATGAATTGAAATTAATAGATTTCTAGATTTCACCATAAGATCTCTTCAATCATGAAACAAACAGTAAAGATTCTGTTTATCTGGTTCTCATAATTTCTGACTTGA